TCTCATTCCCCAAGTCCTCAGTGCTGCTATTAAGAGTCAGCTGGCTTGAGACCAAGCTGCCAGCCGAGGACTACAATCGGGCACGTCAGGTAATGTCCCTGCCTTGTACATCTATACCGAAATAGAATGAGAATATCTATCCCTCTTTATCTTCCGTTCAATTTTACCAAAGAAAGTCACTGTGAAAGTGCTAAGGACCTTCCCTCCCAGTGAGGATATTCTGTGTTCTCAATGAAGGTCTCACAATGAGACCTTTCCTTCTACATTCACACATCACCAGGGCAACACCATCATTACGTCAAATATGTACAAATGTTAAGAATAAACCTAAGTGGCTTAGTGACCTCTGGGGGAGCACAAGCAGTGAGACAAGGTTTATCCAACCTTGACTATCCTGGAAATCAGTCTATAGCTCAAGTTGGCCCCGAACTCAGGCAATCCTCCTGCCTCAGCTTCCTAAGGGCTAACACTATAGATGTGAGCTGCCATGCCTGACTTAGTTTCCTTGCTGCTAGGACAGGATACCTGAAATAAATAAGGGAGAAAAGACTCACCTGGGCTCACGGGTCAAGGGACATAGTTCATTATTCTGACTAGGAATGATGGTGGAAGCTGCCATGGGCTGGAGCAGCAAGAACAGGAATCAGCTGACTACAGCCTGTCAGCAGTCAGGAAGGACAGAGGACTCTGGACTGGACCAGGGATAAGCAAGAGCTCATCAGTCCTGCCCATACCCACCTATCACCCCTACTAACCTCCCACACCTACTAACCTGCTAATCTCTGCCCCTACTATCCTACCAATCTACCAGCCCTACTAACCTACTAACCTCCCACCTCTACTATCCAACTAACCTCCCATCCCTACTAACCTACTAACCTCCCACCCCTACTATCCAACTAACCTCCCACCCCTACTAACCTGCTAACCTCTGCCCCTACTATCCTACCAATCTACCAGCCCTACTAACCTACTAGCCTCCCACCTCTACTATCCTACTAACCTCCCACCCCTACTAACCTACCATCCTACCACCCCTACTAAACTACTAGCCTCCAACCCCTACTAACCTACTAACCTACCACCCCTACTAACCTACTAGTTTACCACCCCTACTAACCTACTAGCCTCCAACCCCTACTAACCTACTAGCCTCCAACCCCTACTAACCTACTAACCTCCCACCCCTACTAACCTACTAACCTCCCACCCCTACTAACCTACTAGCCTACCACCCCTACTAACCTACTA